GCAGTTGTTACCCAGGCACTGTCCGGGAGGAGAGCCGCCCCCATCCTGAAGCCGTATGTGCTGGTGGCAAACCCTTGTGTGCCAGCGCCTGCGACTAGTTCCTCCCCACCCCCCCTTTTTTTTCCCCCTTCCCGGAGACAGGATTTCCCCCAAGTGCTGGAGATCAGTAACTTGTATGTTTAATTCATTTCAGAAACACAGGAAAGCAATTTGCCAACGCGAAGCCTCGGGAAGCCCCACCATGCGATGCCTCTCTCCGACGCGCTGCCCCGCGGCGTCCGGGCCCGCTGCGCCCTGCCCCGAGCGCCCTCTGCTCCTCTCCCTCCGCTCCACTCCGCTCCACTCCGCTCCCGCCGCTCCGCTCCTCTCCCGCCGCTCCGGGCCGGGCCGGGCCGCTCGGAATTGCACCCGTCCTGAGCCGCTGCTCACGGAGCTCGGAGCACGCCGCACACGTGCGGGAGCTGGTGAAACAAAATCAGCTCCTCTTCCCCCCCTCTCCCCAACCCAGGTTTATTCAGAATTAAAGTTGCCCCCCACCCCCCGTAATTTTTTTTTATCTCCATCCCCTTTCTGGAGCGGTAAATAAAGCTCATTTGCATGTCTTTGCAGAAAGTTGCTGCCGTACTAGAATAGAACCCGGGCTTACCTAGTTTGGCAGGGCATGCAAAGTAGGATTGGTTGGATCAATTAGAGAATTATCTATTTATGAAATGTCTAGCTGCAATGAAAAGAGCTGGTACAATTATGAACTGTTGTCTTGACAACTGGGAAGGACTGATTGGATCATTTTATCAGTAGGGTTGCTGATTTCAAAAGCAAACTGCCGAAAATAGTAAGGGACTTGGGCTTCAAAAAAGGGATTTTTTTTTTTTCTTCTCCTTCTTAGCTAGTAGAGGAAAATGTAAAGGGGGTGGGGAGAGGGAGAAGGGTCTCGCCAGGAAAAGTCTGTGATGCAGATTTATTGGCAAAAAGCCAGAGTTGCTATTGTAAATTTCCTCGCCGGTTTCAATGTCAACCCAAGCTCGTATTTGAACCCGGAATCAGGGCAAAAGCATTATCACTCTGTCACTTTGTTGCCAGAAGTGGATTTTTTTTTTTTTTTTGCTAATATTTTACTGTTACATCTGACAGGATTTCACATTTTCTGTAGCCCGCCTTTAGTACGTTGAACTGCCAGACAGAGAAATTAATACCCTGAGTGACTGTATTTTAATTAAGCAATTTCATGCAAATTACAAATTTTAGATTGCCAAATAATATATTGCACAAAAATTGTAGGCTGGCTGATCTGATATGCATGGAGTATTACTCTTCCAGGCGCTGTGCATACATGGGAAAATGAACAAAAATGCTAATTTCCAATCTACTATGCAAACGGAAAAAGATGCCTATTTAGATACATATGCTTTCCTTAGGAAGGGTAAACAGTTCTTTAATTTAATATAGCTGACACTTGAAGATGTATTTTTCTCTTTTGCAAAGATAATTTTTGCATTGAACAAGTAAATGAGAATTCGAGTAGAAAACATCTTGTTAATGGCGACTAATAAAAACTAATATTGCATGCAATATAATGATATTAAACCTTGTAACTGGTACATAAAGCAAGATCATTCCTATTGTTGCTCTGTCAATGAACATCAAATACGCTCGCATATTAAACACATACTGTCCGACCGCGGATGCTGTTAACCCTGTGCGTGGCCGGTTACCGAGCACCTGGAAGGAGGAACGTGACACGCTTTAAGCAGCCCGGCCGGGCAGTCGGAGCCCTCGGCCCTCGCAGGGGAAGAGAAACGGGTTTTTTTCCCCGCTGGCCCGGGCGGAGCCGACGGGAGGCGCGGGGGCTGCAGGGCCCGATGCGGGCTGGCGAGGACTCCCTCGGTAGGGCCCCGTCGTCCCCCGGCCGGCGGCCACCGGGCACTGGGCCCCTGGGAGCGGCCACCCCCGCACCCATGCACACGGCTACTCCGGCCAGGGCTGGCCAGCCCCGCAAGTTTGCGGCTTGGGGTGCAGGCGTGTACCTGAGAGGGGACGGGAAGCTTTGCTCGGGGCCAGCAGCACAGAGGTACCACCCGCGGCAGAGCTCCGCTCGGGTCTCCGTCTCTCTCTCAGACAGTGATCCGAGGAACAAGCAGCTACGGTTCCACAAAGCCTCTTATGATAAAACTTGGTATGAGCCCTGGCACGCTGTCCTGAGCCTTTTATCACCGGGGATACTCACTCACTTGGGCTGAACCATCAGGGTTTGTCCCTGGTTTTGCTTTGTATTTTAAGGACTCGATTTCCCTCCATAGTGAACAAACATCGGAGCCTCTGCAGGAATTAGCTGAGGCTTCCCAGATGCTGTACACAATTAACCTGGTTGCATATTCAACATTCCCAAGTTCAGTCCTTACCGTCTTATCTCGTGGGTGGGCATACTTGAAAGTCCTGAGCATCTTAGCTTCAGTGGGTAAGTAGGCTGAACACAACAGGTCTATAGTGTAGAGCACTGATTTGAATTCTAACTACACTGTTTTAACCACACTGTAGTCAATGTTTTTCTCTATATATATTTTTGGGGTTTTTTTTTGGGGGGGGGAGGGACAGAGGGTGGGAAACAGATTAAGTTACACACACAATTGCAAAGTATAGATACTTTATCCCTGGAACTAGTGTATGCTAAGTATCTTTTCTTTTTTTTTACCCTCTGGATGTAAACAGGGAGTTCAGACTTTGTGTAAGACTCCAGTTGCTCTTTTCACTGGAAAAGGAGGATTGGTTGTTGGGGTAATGTGTTATTCACTATTGGCTGAATATATTTTACTCTACAAGGCTTCTACTGCTGTTGTTGCCAAGTTCTTCCCAAATTTAAATCAGGTTTGGATTTAGGTTCTCTAAGATACTTATTCATGTTCCATGATAAGAAGAGAATTATTTATTGCCATGTTCATTGCCTGAAATTCATGAAAACAATGAAGACATCTGTGTATTTTTTGTGCATAAGTTAATATAGAATTTGAGCACAATTTTTACAAGAGATTTCAGTGAAGTGTCAGTGTGTCTTTTGTAATTTACAGCAAAGACATAGTTCAGATTGCTGGAAGCAGGCAAAGTCCAGAGACGTTAATATCAGAAAAACATTTTTCTGCCCTACAGAACATGAGGGTAGGACACATGAAGATCATTTGTAAACAGTTGCAGCAAAGTTGTCTTGTATTTTCAGTTGCACCAACATTTTTTGTCCATATTAGGCAAGCATATTAGTTTCCGAAAGCAGTATTTGTTCCTGAATTGTTGCACACTCATGCCAATTTTTAGGGTTTTATTGTCCAAATTCAGTTTCATTACTGTGATCCATATGCTTTTTCTGCTTGCAAAGCAGAAGAAATTAACCACAGCTTTCTAAGTAGAATTATCCATGGACATCACTGGAGAATCTTCTTAAAGACTGATGGTATCGTGGCCAATGGAAAGTAGGCTATGCATGAAGAGAAATACCTGGATAAACTATAGCATCTTCTTGAAAAACCTCAACCATTAAGCAGTTTTGCTCTGTCAAACAGTTCCTTGCAAATACCATAATAAAAAAATTTTGGCAATTTCCTTCAGAAAATAGTCATAGTAAGTTTTTCTGTTTGTTTGTTTCTAATCAATAATCAGTTTCATTTTGGGTCAAATAATATTCTGGAAATTCTCCACCACCTGTCAAGAAGTTTGTTGGAATGATTTCTGCTTCTTTATTCAACCAACTTGAGAGTTTTCACTGTTGTGGTATTTGGCAGGGCAAATATTTTCAATATCTGCAACTGACCATCTTATTAACTGTGAAAAATTTCACTTGAACAATAAAGAGTGTTCTGCCAAAGAATTACAGCAAGTTGTTCCAAAGCACATTACTCAATCAAAAATCTTGGGCAACATTCGTATGACCTTTGCCTGCTTTCAAAATGCAACATTAATGCACTTTTTTCCACCAGAATTCTCTATTGAGTAATATGGGTTGGTTTTTAAAAGGTAGTACAAGAGTTATGTTGTCTTTTAAAACAAATAGTTATTATATTTGGGATAATGATATTCAAAGGGACTCACCTTGCAACCTTTACATGCACAAATAGTTAACTCTTATTCATATAAGGACAAAAAGGGCTGCTTGTATGTATAAGGATTGCAGGATTGGACTCAAAGGCCCCAGGTAAGACAAAGCCTTTAGGAGTAGAATTAGGTAGGTCTTTTGCTGAATAGAGCTGGAGTTCTGTTCTGGGTCCATAAGTGACATGGTGGCTGATGCTCCTGGAGTTCAAGGATTTCGTAGGAGTCCTACTTTATGTTTTCAATGCAAAATTAGGAAAGTATTTGAAAAAAAGGGGATATGTTAGAAACAAGAAGATAAAAATGTTAGAAGGTGATTACAGGACAGTAAGAAGGACATTACTTCCAAATATTTCAGGTAGACATCTCCAGTGTCAAGGAAAGCTAAAAAGAATGCGAAGGTTTTTGTGAAGCTCCTATACTTTGAGTTGCTCAAAGTTTAACAAATTAGGATATAGCTTTCACCAAATTAAAATAAAATATAAAATAAAAAACAAACAATCAAACAAACCAGAACAAAAATACTAAAACAAAACAGGAGAATTAATTGTCTTATATTACAGGAACAGTTTACAACATTAGGTCAGTATTTCCATTCCAAATCTGTTATCCAGAGATGTATTACTTAGTGATAAACATTCATTCAGAACTGCAATGAGGCACAGCAATGTATCAGACTTGACTGTATCCTTGGATAATTTGTAAATGACAGAAAGACAGTTGAAAAAAGGTGATTAATTTTTGTAGTCTTTCAATTCAAAAGCTAATTCCCACTGTTTAGGCAGATAGCCTACGTTGTTGAGGAGTGTACTTGTGCCATCTAAGTAGAAAATCAAATATGAAATAACTTTTTCATCTCCTGCAGAGACTCAGACTGACGTATATCTACTGTGTTAAAAAAGTAAATATTTATAGAGTCATTTTTTTGCATAGATTTTGAATAAAATTCAGCTGTTCTGAAAGCTATTGCATCCCCTGATGACGTCAATAGAGGCAATTCTGCCTTTTATATCTGTATTTAGGAATTAAATAAACAAATTGTAATAGTATTAGGGATTATAAACAACCAGGGGATAAGAAACTCTCAGGAGCTGAGATTATTTTGCTATTGCTGGATGGAGAAAACCTGTTGTGTGCTGTGCTAGCTCAAAGCATGTCTTTAATCATGCATCGGAACAGAAAAGAAACTTCTTCCTGGAACACTTATCTGGAAACATGGTAAGAGGCACTGGATATTGCCATTGTTTCCAAAATACAGGATGCTGAGTGGGAGAGCAGCTTAGCCCTAGGAAGCCCAGTAGCATCCCCTTGGCATAGAAGCTCTCCCTTATGACGTTAAGGGCAGAGTTTCTGAAACTCTGGAGAACTTCCCAGCGTGGATGCTGCTGGGCATCCCTCCACTCTAGGGAAAGTGAAACACAATTCTCATGGATGAGAGCATTCCTCCAGGCGGATTGCAAAAGCTGCCCTGTCTGCTTAGGCCATGAAATGGCTGGAAGCCTTGGAAGGGATGCAAACCAGGGAGTAATAAAAGTCTTGTTAAGTTTCACATCTAGGCTGTCAGGTAGGAGGGGACTCTGGAACTCAGGAGAAGAAGACAAGAGACAACTGGGTTTTTTTCTCTCTTTGGTGCAAGGACACACTGCCAGTGAGTACTGTCTTTCTTGAAGTCATCTTGCAGTCATCTGGCTGAAATACAGAAGGGTTTGTTTCTGGGTGGGTTTTTTTTGCATTTTCTGGCTCCTAGTCATTTTGAAGCATCAACACCATTTCCTTCCATTCAGCTATTCATTTCTTATTGAGCTAGGCCAATGCTGGAAATCATGTTCGTGGCAGATTTTCCTTCTTTGATATCACCATTCAAAGTTCCATGCTGATGAAAAGCTAAAAAGTGAACAGACCTTCCACCAAAGGCATGCACTTGTATGCATTTTGAGACATAATTCATAGCAACATATGACATTACCCTTACCACAAAAATGATTCACTGTTATGGGAAATAAATACCAGTGTTTAAAAAAATCTTCGCTGACTTTTTGAGAAGTAACTCTAGGCCCTGAAAATTCCTGCATGTCACATTGCACAAAAGGAGGCATTATGTTAATGGTGGGACTATGGGTCCAGGTGAGAGGGGAAAAAAATGAAATATTGCTGGAAAAAGGATCTGTCTAACATATAACACCTGCACACGCACAAATCCTACACCCACTAGCACAGAGGGAGGTGACTGGGAGAGGAGCATGTATTTGGACAGTGCAGACAGAAGTTGGAGAAAAGTGATTTGTGTGCAGTAAGATAACTCTATCAATACCATTACTAATTAATACACTGTCGACTCTTTCGCAGATTCTAGGTAATTTCAATGGCTCCACAGTAAGGTCATATGTCTAAGGAGTTCACAGAAAATGGTGCATGAAGATCTAGGGTTCTGAGCCCATCATATCTGGGCTTCTCACAGATATAATTTATTTTGCTGTTTCAAACTTTTCTCTGCTTTTCCACTACCAAAAAAAAAAAAAAAAAAAAAAG